GACGACGACGACGACGACCACCACTACCATTTTTTCTGCCGTCACTAGTACCACTACCACTGGCGCTGCTTCTGGTATTGCTGCGCTGCAGCAGCAACTGATCGTACAGTACCTGTGCTGATTGTCCTTGCGCTGCCTGCCTTCCTGGTCCCTACCCACTCGCAACCGAGACAGAGATCAGTTTCTTGCGGGGCTTTTGGCATATGATGTCAATGTTCAGATGAAGCTGTGTTGTGCGCGGAGCTTTACTTGGTGTGCTGTTTTATACTACTGCTTCGGCAGTCCTTCCGACGCTGCACCGAACGAAAGTGCTCCTGCAAGGAGTCTGGTCGCTCCGCCTGCAGTACATACCAGGGCAAAGGGGGTCATCCTACTAGTCAGTGTATCTGTCTGTAAGATTTATAGGGTTTATATGGCTTAAGTTACCCCAGAAAGGGCTCCATGTTCCCCTTCTGATCTCCGTATATCTCTAGGGCCTCTATGTGAAGCAGCTACAGAAAGCCTTATTCAATTGGGCTTTACGGTGCTGCCTGAATTACTTTCACTCCAATGGGGGACTGATCACTTTAGGACTATGTGAACCTTTAAGGTTTAACGAAGAACTGGGCCGGAGTCCACTTAGTCTAACTGGGCATGTGATAATGTACTCACCTACCAGGATGCACGAGCGGCCTCTAAAATTGCGCATCTTTGTTGGCATCATTTCCACAAGGACCATATCATTCTGGGGCAGGGGTTTATAGGTGAAGCTTGAAGAAACAAATGAGTGAAGGGCTCTCCATTATCACGCCGCGAACGCTCAACCAGCTTAAAGGGCTGCGCATGGAAGATCCGAAGGACTTAGGGGTGTCAATTGGCACCGGACACTTTGGAAGTCTAAACATCAATCTGACTCGAACGAATCAGAACCTGGACATGGCAACCCGCACTACTTGTTGGCAGGGGTGCGTTGCTTAGAAGAGGCTCCGCGACTATACTCATACCCGACTTGAAGCCATGGCTATGAGACTTGGGGGGGTATAACTGGGCAGTGGCTAAGTCTAAAACACCACAAAAAATACAACTTTTGGTTGTAAGGCTCAAAAATTTCAAATATTTTGGAGGCCCCTAAAGAAATAGGTTGCGGGTAACACGCCTTTTGAGGTTCTATCAGTTCTCACGAATGGCGAACCCCATGCACTGCACTTCCCTAAATGTGTTCTAGATGTTTCCAGCGTGGTGCCCAGTGCTAGGGCTTGTTTTGATATTTAGGAAGGTGAGGGTCTCATCCTTTGTCGGAAGGTGTTGCTGATTCAATGCGAATTTTTTGCTTCCCTGAACCAGCGGCTCCAGCTATTGTTGAACGGTTAGGCACCAGAAGTTAGGGCTTGGGGTTCAGGGGATGTCCACACTAAACCTACAAAAAAACCTGAACCCTCAACCCTAAATTTTGGGGATAGAGGCCTGAAACCCCTAAACCCCAACCAGGGGCACCCCTAAGGACCCTCGCATCATATCGGGAATAAAGGAAACCCCCGGGTGCCTTCTACGGGTGCTATACGGATGCTCCCAAACCTCCCATATGAATAGTGTTTGTTTTGGTGGTTGAACCTAGTAAGATTATGTTCCTCATGCAAAATACGATACCCCACAAGGAGGATACAACAATCCTACTCTAGAATGGGTACTATAGTATCCACAAATAGAATACTACTCATAAATTCAAGAACAGAAATACCGTACGTGTGTACCTGGGCTTCTGGGATCACAGAACTGGAGGTGCCCCAAGACAACCCTAAACCCTAAACCCTCAACCCTAAACCCTAGAAAACTTTGAGACATCAAAGGCTTGCAGTTCAGAATGTACCCACCTGTCCTTCTATGGGAGCCCTAGCTATGGTTCCCTGTAAGTCTCCCTCCCGAACAACGGAGGTTTAGTATTTCGTTTCTCCATGGCGCATGACTGGACTAGGAGATTGTAGTGGCATACTGGTATACCCTACTTAGACCTGGCGACGCAGTATTTTTGGGGTATCGTCGATCGTTAAAAAAAAACTAGTATGAAATGACTAGTGTGCGCTATGGTACGATACTGGAAGGCCTAGATCAATGTATGCAGGCTCCAGAAAACAAGAAGCCCAAACACGGAGCCCAGGCACTGCTGTTTTTGAAATTGCGGTCACTGAGCGACTTTCATGCATAGGCATGTATGGGGGTCCTCTGTCAGGACCATGAACATTGCATATACACTACTTATCATGTTGGATCTAGGAATCTAGGAGACAGCACATATCCAATGCTGCGGGTGACAATTCTGCTGTTTGCACCTTCGCACTCCTTCCTGCAAAAGCAGCGCAATGCCGTTTCAGTGCCTCGGAGCCCTGGAACACGGCAGCGTTTGCAATGGCTATGAAGGACTCTTCGGTCAGTTGATGTCGCAGCATGTCTGACAGGACTTGGACGAGATTAACCACATCCCATTCATGGGACAAGTCCAGAGCCTCCAACATCGTCTTGTAATCGGCATCGTTGCGGGCAGAACCGGTGTACAAAATGTCTAGGAACAGCGACACTGCAGCAGCGGACTTCTCTACTCGAATTCGCTTGTGGATGCCTTCCTGCATTGCGGATGTGCACATGGCTTTCAGAACCGGGGAAGCCGCCATCAACACAATGTCATGGCAAGTGACATTGCCTTCTTCCGTCTCGAAACTAAGATTGTGCGTTTCAATCATATGACGCATCCGACTCCAGTTGTCGATAAGGCCTGAATCCACTGACCGTATCACGGCCTCAGACCGGCTTCTATAAATGATCAACAGCACGCGCTTAATGTATGTGGTTATGATGTCGTCATCGCGGATTTTGGAATGCGTCATAAGGGCAACCGCAAACGAAACGGCAGAATGGCCATAGCATGAGAATGGTGTCCCAAACCCCTCAGAGAGCGGCTTCTTGTAAGTTGTGGGATGATGCGGATCTGCTCCTGTCCTCAGCATGAAAGTGACAATTCTGACATGATTCTCTTGCTGGTCCCTCTTTTTCTTTAAGCCTTTGATAATTGCAAAATGCAAAAGCGGAGGCTGTCCGTAGAGCTGCTGCCAGTCGAACTGATTTGGCGTGAACTGTACCACGCCCTCTAGGTCGCTTAGCTGGATGAAGCCATGAAGCGCCTGAGCAACGCACCGTCGGCGCTGTGCTTCCTCCTGCTCTGCTTCCTTCCGCTCCGCTTCCTTCCGCTCTGCTTCCTTCCGCTCTGCTTGCTTACGCTCTGCTTCCGCACACATGCCATTGCACCAGCAGGCCCAAGCGAGCATAGCCGTGGCGCTGACTTTGAGTTGACCGCAACAATGACACTACACGAGGGACCGATTGTGGTTTCACTCGTTCGATACCAAGAAAACTGAAAACTACTTCAGAGGTTCTAGGATGTTGGGTGCCTTGCTTGGCTCAGAAGGAAAAATCATAACCGACATGTACGACCTGGGACCTCTCGACTCTCTCCCACCTTGATATTCTGATCGAACTGCGGACATGTCAAAGCTATCTGGCCACATGATCTTCTGCCTTTTCACGTTACCTTCATTTCTCTGCCCAGAGCTCTCGTGCATATCTTAGGCATCGCAGGCTGTGTGACCTGATCGCGGCAGTGCCAAGTGGTTAGGAATCCCAAGACCACAATCTAGAGGTGTAGGTGTGCGTAAGCCAGAAACCAAGGCCCTAAGTTTTAAGACCAGAAACATGCGTTGCGCCGACTGCACCTTGGCCCTTGTTCTGGGACTACTATTAGCATGGTTCTGGTATGTGGCGTGGTACAGGGAGACCATGCTTGAGGTGGCGGCATAAACGCTCGCCGTCCACCCTTGTGTTAAGAAGAAATGCACCATCCTGTTTCCATGCGAGGATATTTAACATTCAGGTATAAACATGCTTTGAGGTCAGAATGTGAGACCCTGACACAAGCCCCTTGCCTTTGGGACGCGATTTTTCCAGGATTCTGTGACCCTGCCCAGATCTGCCAGTGTTCAGGGTAAAGGTTTGGGCCTGGGGATCTTTTACTTCTTGAAGGTTCTCCGTAAGCTTCTGGCATGTTTTGGGGCAGCGTGCTTGGTGGGATTGGTAGTGCGAAGCCTTCTCTGAAGTTTCTGATATTTCGTGCTGTACCGTAGAAATTAAATGAAGTGAATAGCTGGGATCTTGCACCTGCATGTGTATACGTATGATACGTGTTTCACCTGCAGAAAAGCGTGGCTAGTAGATCTTCTCGGGCTCATTTTACTAAAGCTGCGTTTGTGGTGGGAGGGTTTGAAGGTCGGAGCTTGTATAGTCTGGACTGTGACAACCAATCAAAATGCTGTTGTCCCAGGAACCATTATCGTTCGAGTCCAGTTCTCCGAAGAACACGAAACCATGAACATGCAACCATGCCACGGAATATGCAAAGTTTGAGATTTCCACTTAAAGGCATACGCCTGTAGGCAAAAGAAGGGGCATACCCTGCAGCAGCATGCGAAGATGATTGAGACCGGCCTGATGTCTGATGTTGTGCAAGCTGCCGGACCCCCAAAAGAATGTACTACAGGGGGCAAGATAATTACCAATAGCATGTTGAGGTCCTTTTCAGGTGCCATATACTATAATTACACAAAATCCACGTTTTCATATGCCGAAGGTTTCGGATGGTTAGATCTATTTCGGGAAATACCCAGGTTTCCGCAGTTGAGAACCGCGGAGCCCTGCAACCTCGACCTCCCATTTGGTCGCATCGATTGAGTTCGACTTGCGAGGCTACTCTACAGCAGAGCCTCTGCATGACATGTAGTCCCTTCTGAGCTATAATCTAAACTTCTAGCATCCCGCTTAATACGCCGATAGTACTCACCTATATGATCCCACATATAACCTACTTCAAGAAGTTGAGACTATAGCTCATGTAATGCCACTTGGAGCAAACAATGTCCTTGAAATCGTAGACACAACATCCTGAGCACACGCCCCAACATGGTGCAGCCCTCACTTAGTACCCAGACCCACCAACTACACCAATAGCCTTCACTTATATAGGGCCCTGTTGGCGCACCAATTTAGGGTGAAATGATGCACTTAGGGAAACTGCCATCATTTTTTGGTGAGATGATGTATTTAGGGAAACTACCAAATAGAAATCGGATAACCTTGTATCATCCACAAAGTCCGCCTGCCTAAGCCCTAAACTTTCAACCCTGAGGCATTTATCTTGGCTGCGGTAGTCTCACTCAGAGGCTCAGTCTACTACGGAGCACCGGTCTTGTCTAGACTAATACTTTTACAGTAGACTATACGCTATCACGCGCTCAGAACTTGGTTTTTCGCTACCTCGCCTGAATCTCCTTGGTGCAGACTCACCCTGAGCAATCCGTATGGTCCTGGACTGCTGTGCTGCCCAGCACAACCAAAGACAAGCTGCAGCTCAGGGGTTTTTCAGGCCAAAAGCATGGGCTTGGGGAAAGGGTGTGGGCCCCTAGTAAATGTCAGCGCTTTGGCGGTTTTGTGTGTGAGTGAGTGAGTGAGTGAGTGAGTGAGTGAGCGCGGTTTCTTTTGAAAGCGTGTTTTACTTTTTTCGCCGCTAAGGCTTCTGTGACCAGCTCAATGGCCTATGCAGGAGTAGCCTGTTACACCATCAGCAGGACGCAGTGCAGCTGCTTGACTAGGCATAGTAGTTGGCAAGGGAAGTTTGAACATCATATAAGCCTACATTCCTCCAAGCTAGCATAAAAAAGGGCTATGTAGACTACTGCCCTTTCAAAGGAAGTTCCAATGGGTTTGCAAAGCTGTCTTCGGCAAGGGTAATCCGCGGGAGAAAGCAACATCCAACCCTTCCCAAAGTAGCCTTACAATACACCCTCAACATAGGTTAAGATGCCAAAGCACTAAGAGGCACACAAACATCGTCTATAGGTCATTAAACCCTAAGCCCAGCCAAGAGTTCGAATCGAAACAAACATCGTATAGCTTAGAACTTTGGAGAGATACACTTGGCACGGAAATTGGAAATACTCAGGAGTATGGGACTGTGTAAGGACTATAGCACACGGCCACGCGCGCAAATGGATAGGGTAAGGGGTCCTGCCAATCTACCATACCCTGCAAGCTCCAACTACCTGCTATATCTCGGGAAAGAATCCCACTCATCCTTTTATCTGGGTGTCGATGTGCAATGTGCTACTGGATGATAGTCTTGGCGTGCTCCCTATATACAGCCACGTAGAGTCCTCACCACAAACTACACTTCAGGAGGAAAACATGCACCACCTCCTGTACCCCATATCCTTAGTGCCGCAATACTGCGGAATATTAAAGTGTGCAAAATGTCCTGAATCCACCATATGAAGCTCCATGTTCCCCTTAAGACCCCCTAGAGTAGTCCCCTATATAATCCCCTATACAACCCACTTTAAGGACTTCAGACTATAGCTCATATAAAGACACTGGAGGGGTATGGGGCTTCCTGCATACCTCTCCTGGGCGTTGAGCTCCGAGGTCGTGCTCCGACGAAGCAAGCCTTGGGCCATGGTTTAGGGTGTTCAGGGTTTAGAAGATTTAGGGTTTGTGGGTTCAGTTCAGTGGTTTAGGTCTAGGGTTTAGGCTTTAGGGGTTGAAGGCCTCACGGTTTGGAGAGGTTCAGGATCTAGGATTTAGAGTGTATGGCCTCAAACTTAACGAGGTGTAGGGTGCAGAAATGAGGGTCTAGATTCATGTGAGGGGTGTAGGGCTGAGGGACTACCCGGAAAGGCAAGTTATCCCAAATCATGGGCTACTTCAGCCCAAAGGGGTAGGTAGGCAGGGGAAGTAGGCCATAATCATGAGCTTTCGGCTTTCTACTTAGGAAGGCCGGTTAGGTAAAACCCTTAACCCTAAACCCTGAAAGCCGAAAGGCTTCGGGCCTAGCACTGCACATGACACAAGATATGGGTGATAAGGGGTTTAGGGTTTAGGGTATGCGGAGACTATATATAGGAGGTTAAGGGATATACAGTGCTTACATAGGGCTACAGGGGAAACAAGGGGCATATGGGGACTTTATAGGGTTTGAGGATAATGGAGAACCAAATGGCAAAGACATGGAAAACCGAATTGGAATTCAGTGTGCAGATAGATACGGGCTTACCCTGGTTAGGGTGCTTCTAAACTTTAGGGCATTCCTATGATAAGGACTACAACATATTTGGGTCTACATGTGGGTCCCCCATTTATGGAAAGCCATAATACGGCTTTAGCTGTCAGGACGCCACCGCCTTGCAACGGTTGGGAGACGTGACACCTTGTTTTTGTGCAATGCTGTCATTGTTGTGTATGCATTTTTTTCCCGAATTGGGGTCCCCCTCTGTAGATCCCCCCAAAGTGAGGAGTCTTCGTCTCGACAACGTCACTCAGGACCCCTTCCAAAGCCTCCAGAAGCTCGGCATAAAGGCGGTAACTGCTGCCAGTAACAGTTGGCTGCCTTCAAAGACGTTCCACGAAAGCACTCTGGAGTAGGTGCCGTGTTCAGGTCTTCGGTTCCTGAACCTTGAGCATTCACGCTATGCCCAATTGAGGGTTTAGGTTACAGTCTAAGATAAGCCCTTTACGGCTAAAACACGAAGGACCGACTCCTAAAGTCTAGCCCCTTTTCCCATCAACCCACATCCCTAAAGCTTTCAAACCCTTAACCCCAAACCCTTAAATACTAAGCCTTAGGGCTGGCCTGGAGCTTTTAAGCTTAAAAATGATAACATAAAGTCCCTGCTGTGGCTCCCGGCAATGGCCACAGAGCCACCAATGGCCGCCCATGGCGCCATTGGCTAGTGTCTACGATTAACCAGCTACTACCGTGTCTCCTTTAAAAGAGATGTGGGATATCTGTTTCATGTATACACGCACTGTACTAGCCACAAAGTGAGGTACCCAAAAAAATCCGAACAATATAGGGTCTGGGTACATCTTTGATTGCGCGGCTTCAAGTGTCAAGTTGAGGTTTCGGCTTAGGCATGAGGTAGGCATGCCTCAGACAGCCAGATTTCATGTAAGGGTTTAGGGTTTCGGGTTTAAGGTTTAAGGTTTAGGGTTACCCCAGAATTCCTATCAAGCCATGGCTCAGGACATGGTCAGGAAGTGTGAGATCTTAGGGTTTCCTAGTTGGGCATAATTCATGTGGGAGCTTGAGGGTTGTGGTTTTCTAGTGTTGGATGTTTGGAGAGTA